GCGGGCGGACGTATGCTGTGTGTGGCCACCATCCCAACATATCAACTCGTCTCAGCTAGGTGGAGAGCCCACCTGCTATCACCCCCTACTACTTTACTTCCCGTTTCTATGCTTTCCTTCTCTCTCTCCTCCCCTCTCTCAGGGCAAAGTCATTTGCCACTTCACTTCATTATCATCATCATCATGTTTTTTGGCAGTAGAGAAATATACACTTCCACGTTAAGTACTATATTGTTCTAAGACACCTCAGCTGTATGTCGCATGGTGGTGAGTATAATATTGGAGTGTGGTGGTGGAGTACAGTTGTAGCTCATGGTGGTGGTGGTGGTGGTCGTGGTCGAGTACAGTGGTATCTAGTGGTGGTGGAGTACAGTGGTAGCTCGTAGTGGTGGTGGAGTACAGTTGTAGCTCATGGTGGTGGTGGTGATGGTCGTGGTCGAGTACAGTGGTATCTAGTGATGGTGGAGTACAGTGGTAGCTCGTAGTGGTGGTGGAGTACAGTTGTAGCTCGTGGTAGTGGTTTGTGTAGAGTGGTAGCTCGTGGTGGTGGTAGAGTACAGTGGTAGCTGGTGGTGGTGGTGGTTAATTTTGATTTTGCCACTTACAGCGGCTAGTTTATTGTGTACCTCTTACTCATCCTGTGCGCGATAGCGCAATAGGATCAGAGAGTAGAGTTCACAGAGGGTCCGTATAACTAAACCCCGTGGTCAGGAATTGAATGTTACAGAGTGTTTCAAATAAATTCTTTGTTTAGTTCTGTATAGAGAAGGTAACTTAATTGCAACTGCGTGAGTAAAGGAGTGTGAGGCAATATTTCTAGCCGCACACTTTGTTATTCACATTTGCGTGAGAGGTATTCAAGCACGTTGTGTGTTTGGTTCTATACATGGAAACTGATATAGCTACTAAGTGCAAAAAAGTGGATACAATCTTAATATGTCAGCTACCTTGCCATTAGAGATAAAGTGTTGTGCCATTTCACACACTGTGTTTGGACCTGTCCCTAAAAGGTTCTATCTTCGCACAGTCAAGGACGTAGGGTTCGAGTGTGTGGCCATATGTCTGGCCACACACTTTATACATAGTTTTGTTCACATGTGCTTGAGGGACAAACTGCCAGAGGTACTTGGCCTTAGTCTAGCGGTTACAACATCCTGTAATCTAGTGATCTTATTACTTGCTCCATATACATAAGAACATAAGAACATAAGAAAGTGGGATACTGCAGGAGGCCGACTGGCCCATACAGGGCAGATCCCTTTCACACCCATCCCAGCACTTCCATGTGCCTATCCAACTTCGTCTTGAAGCTCCCTAGCGTCCCCGATCCTACTATAGCACTCGGTAGCCTATTCCACATATCCACAACTCTATTACCAAACCAGTGCTTGCCTATATCCTTTCTGAATCGGAATTTATCTAATTTAAAGCCATTTGTTCTAGTTATTTCGTTATTACTGAGCTTCAGAACATCTTCCATTTTACCCTTGTTAATCCCACTTACCCACTTGAACACCTCTATCATATCTCCCCTAACTCTACGCCTCTCTAATGAATGCAAGCCTAAGCTTTTCAGTCTTTCTTCATATGGAAGGTTTCTAATATTATGGATCATTTTTGTCATTCTTCTTTGTACTCTCTCCAAAGAATCTATGTCCATTCTATAATAAGGACACCAGAATTGAACCGCATAATCCATGTGTGGCCTCACTAATGCTAGGTAAAGTTTCAAGATAACGTCAGCAGTTCTGTTACTCACAGACCTAGATATGAACCCAAGAATCCTGTTTGCCTTGTTGCGAACGCTAATACATTGTTTTCTAGGTTTCAAGTCGTTGCCAACAAATACACCTAGATCTTTTTCACAATCTGAGCTTTCTATTTCCGTGTTACCTAGTTTATACTTAACGTTTGTATTCGTCTTCCCTATCTGTAGTACCTTGCATTTATCAGTATTAAAATTCATTTGCCAGTCTACTGACCACTCATGTAAGGTATCTAGATCTCTTTGAAGGTGTTCAAAGTCACTGTCTGAATTTATCACTCTCCCCATTTTGGTATCATCTGCAAATTTACTAATCCTACTAGTTATACCTAAATCAAGATCATTAATGAATATAACAAACAGCAGAGGGCCTAATACAGATCCCTGGGGAACTCCGCTTTTGGCCGCACCCCAGTCTGACTTAAATCCATTTATGCTGACTCTTTGTTTCCTACCAGTTAACCATGACCTAATCCATTTTAATAATAATCCACCTATTCCATGTGCTTCTACCTTCCTTATCAATCTCTCATGAGGGACTCTATCGAATGCTTTACTGAAATCTAAGTAAATTATATCATATGACTTATCATTATCTACCGCTTCATATACTTCTGAGAAAAAGCTAAGCAAATTTGTGAGACAAGAACGTACATGTTTCACTTGATACATCTCATCATGGTAAACTATGGTTCGACTAGTGCCTGTTTGCACTTCTCTACTTGCGTCTTATTCATCAATAAGTTCCTTCCTAATTACAGTTTTTATGGTTCTTTTTGACAGACCCAGGTTGTATTCAACAGTGTTTTTGTTAGACGCGAGCTTGGCGAGAGCATCAACTCTGTCATGTTTTTCGAGGCCGATGTGAGAGTGGATCCACTACAGTTTGATCTTGACACCCCGTTCAACAAGGTACGCATATTTGTGTCTGGCTTCAGAGACAAACACATGACAATTTAAGCTGAGGGTGTCAAGGGCAAGTAGCGAGGATAGAGAATCAGTGATAATGAGGCTGTCAGTGACAGTGGTTTCAATAGATTTGATGGCTGTGGGGACGGCAACTAATTCAGTTTGTAGAGTGGATGCCCAGTTGTTAATTCTAACTCGTGTGTGGTTTGTGTGATATTATCATCAGTCTGTAGGGTGCGTATTTGTTGAAGAGCTCTCACTTTGGCAGTGTGTTGGAGATAAATACTTTGTATAATTAATATTTTAGGCGGATATGTCGGTACTGTGATATCGAAGGGAACTGTCTGCCAGGGTGGTAGGAAGTGCTGTTGTGTCTCAACTTTGTACACATGGCCTAGTGTAGCTGTAGTTTGGATCCATTTTGATTCACCAGTCCCATGGTTCATACTTTCTAGCAATTTTAAGGAAACACTGTTATCAGGATCACCACGCAAAATCCTCAGGGCTATCATGAGTTTGAGTTCACTTATTCTATCTTTGACATTGGGTATACCTAGTTCTTTCCTCACATTAAGTACTTTAGTGCTCATGGGACAACCCTAGGACAATTCTGAGGCTTTATTTTGCATTTTTTCTAGCTTGTCCATGACTCTCCCTTCACGAAGGACCAGGGCCGGTGCTTGGTAATCTATCAGAGAGCTTATATAGCCTAGGTACATTGTTTTAACAATTCTAATATTAGCACCATAATGTGGGCTGTACCCCGCTACACTTCTAAAGAGGTTTCAGTCTGTCAAAACATTGGCGGGTTAGCTGTTGTATGGCAGGTAAGGTACAAGGGACAGAGACACCAAGATATTTAAATGAAAGGACGTAGTCAATAGTGTTGTTAACTATCTTGAAAGAGATCACTGAGATGTCCTTATAACCCGAGCCATGCGTGACTCAGACCACTGAGGCACTAATCATCGGCTCGTCAGAGCCAAGCTCTCACCTCAAGTCGCCCCAAAACGGCGAAGGCATAAACTTCCAGAGGAGGCTTTAACACTAAGCGTCTGGAGGATCCAGAGGCAGCACATGCTTTCAGAGAGCTGCTCGGACATGGCCTGATAAACAACCCGACAACAAACAATGCAAATCCCAATGTCGAATGGGATATTCTCGACGCTGTCATGAAAATAACTCGGAAATCAATGTGAAGTGGGAACCATGTTATCTTCTTGCATACGGAAGTGTGTTGTGTCCTGTGTGGTGTTTTCATTTATTAAGGCTATTTATGTAGGAGAGATTGAAGCACAGTCTTCTAAGTCCCATGTTTATTTCCTGCTCCCTTTACAGTGAGTCTCCATATAAACCCACCTCCCTACAGTGAGTCTACATATAAACCCACCTCCCTACAGTGAGTCTCCATATAAACCCACCTCCCCTACAGTAGATCTCTACTCTCGCTATAAACCCACCTCCCTACAGTGAGTCTCCATATAAACCCACCTCCCTACAGTGAGTCTACATATAAACAATCAACATTAAAGTAAATAAATAAAGTTGTTGCTGTAATAATATTAATTATTCCTTTATACACTTATTTGTACAATAATATAGAACACTATCCCTCCTTTTAAAACCAAAAATGTCAAACTTAATCAAATGGAAACATATCCTAAAAAATATAAACTAAACTATCATCTAATAAGGAATGTTAACAAACTAACGCACAGCAATATAGGGAACTACAGTAATTGTAGTAAGTTATAGTATAGTACTGTATATTATAAGTAGTAGACACTAAAATTAAATAAAAGAATATTCAAGTTGTACACAGTAGTCATTTACATATCTAGGAGGGTTTCTTTGCCTTTCTGGATATCTCTTGGAAGCAACTAGTCGCTCATTGGGAGAAGGTACAGTTTTATTAGGAGAACTTTGGAATTACCCCAAAACCTCTGAAACTGTAGGCCTTTCATTTTCACTTATTTGAGGCTCTACTTCATTCATTATAGGATACATATCTGGAAGCACATTAGGAATAGGATTTGAAAATTATTTATTGGTTTCATTATTTTAATTTTCATCTACCAGTACTAAAGCCTCCTCAGGGACCATTTGCTCATTTACTCTTTGAGGACACTTCAGCAATTGGTCAATGTATCTTTTCCCTACATAGCCATCATGAACTTTCACTAAGTAGTGCCCTTCTCCAACCACTTTTTCCACTTTACCTTGCACCCATTTTTCTTTTCCTCTGTAATTTCTCACTCGCACTGAATCACCCAATTTCAACACACGCAGCCACGTGAAACAGTTCGGTTCACCATGGACTCTTGTTCTACAGTACTTCCACTTTCTTCGTAAAAGATGGAAATATTAAATCCAAACGAGTGAGCAGTTTCCTTCCCATCAGCAGCACAGAAGGGGCGATTCCTGTTGTAGAATGTGGAGTGATGCGATAGGAAAGCAGGTATCTTTGTAGGACAGTCTCAGCATCTTGCTTTAGTACTTCAGCTTGACGTAAAGCTGACTTAAGTACTTGAACTACTCTTTCTGCTTGACCATTCGTAGAAGGTTTATATGCTGAGGATGTACGATGCAAAATACCGGTTGCTAAGCAGAAATCCGCAAACTCTTTTGAAGTGAATTGCGGGCCATTATCTGTGGCTAGAATCTCAGGTAATCCGTGTCTACTGAAAACCTCACGGAGAACCTTTACCGTAGCCTCGGCCGTAGTTCTCTTCATTTGAACCTCTTCATGATACTTACTGTAAGCATCGACAAGTACAAAGTACATCTTTCCCAAAACTGGACCTGCAAAATCAGCATGAAGTCTTCACCAAGGTTTGGATGGAAACGTCCACGGATGAATTTGTGCAGTAGGTGGATCTGCCCTCATGGATTAACATACTTGATATGAAGAAACAACTCCTTCAATTTGCTTGTCCAGATTGGGCCACCAGACATAGGACCTTGCCACTGCCTTCATTTTAGTCATGCCTAGGTGTGTCTAATGTAGTTCTCGAAGTATGTCCCCTTGCAGTGCAGTGGGAATTATGACACGAAGTCCCCATATAACACACCCTTGTTCAATGCTGAGTTCATCTCGACTCTGTAGGAATGTTGTAAACTTGGATCACAATCATCAGTACTTGGCCATCCACACTGAGCATATTTCAGAACTTTGGATAATATTGGATCTACTGCAGTTTTTTTTCTTGATCATTTGATGTGTTACAGTTGTGAGGCTGTCTGTTACAAAGAAGTAGCAATTTACAACCTCACTGTCACAGTTCACTTTTGTAGCCAGAGGGACTCTTGACATGCTATCTACATCAACATGATCAGCCGTGTACCTGTATTATATCTTGTAGTTGTATGGAGCCAACTTAAGTGCCCCTCTTTGCAGTCTGGCAGATGCATGTGGTGGAACAGGTTTCTCTGGGCTGAACAAGGAAACCAACGGGCGGTGGTGATCTGTAATCAACGTGAACTGCCGGCCGTAAAGGAACTGTCTGAATTTCAGAGCACCCTATACAATCCTTTGGGCTTCTTTATCTAACTGAGAATAGTTTTTCTGAGCACCTGTTAATGTACATGAGGCAAAAGCAACTGGTCGGTAACACCCATCAATAACGTGTGACAATTCAGCACCAATACCATATGAAGAAGTATCACATGAAAGAAACAATGGTAAAGAGTCATCATAGTGTACAAGAGTATCTGAATGTAGCAGTAACATTTTTGCCTTAGAGAAAACTTCATCCTCTACTTTGGCCCAAACCCACTGAACAACTTCTTTAGCAATCTATTCAGGGGAGCAAGTACAGTGGAGTGATTCTTCAGAAATCTGGAATAAAACATTATCAGGCCTAGGAAGGATTTTAAGGCTATTACTTCTTTAGGGGGAGGAGCTTGACTTATGGCAAGGAGTTTATCTTCTGTGGGATGAAGGCCCTCACCATCAATTCTATGACCAAGATATGTGACAGAATTTTGCTCAAATTTGTATTTGTTCTTATTTAATCTGAAACCTGACTCTTTCAATCTTTGCAGAACTTTACACAATGTATCTAGGTGATCCTTCTTGTCTTTTCCTGCATTGGGGATATCATCTAAGTAACATATTACCTTTGGAATGTCAGAAAGCATATTATCCATTATTCTCTGAAAAATAGCAGGGCCAGAGTGAATACCAAAAGGCAATCTCTTAAACACAAAAAGTCCAATGTGAGCATTGATAGGGAGATACTTACTAGATTCAATTGCAATAGGAATTTGGTGGTATGCTTGTGACATGTCCACCACATTAAACACAGAAAAATTTCTCAAAACTGAAGGTAAATCTTCAACCTTTGAAATAGGGTAGCCTACATTACTACATCAGCACATTTGTTGAAAGTCACACTAAAATCACCACACATTCTGACTTTATCTGAATCTCTTTTATTCACAGACACAATGGGAGCAGCACCAAATGGAGCACATGAAACTCTCTCAATTACTCCATCACTTTCCATTTTCAGTAACTCATTTTGTACTCTGGACTGAAAGGCATACGAAACTGGTCTAGATTTGTGAAATTTTGAATTTTCTGAAACAGTGAGTTCAACTTCTGGACCATTATAACATCTTAGCTCATCTTTAAACAATTCGCTGTAGTTTTCTAGGATGATGGAAACATCTGGAACATTTTTAGAGGCATGAAGATGATTTACAAAAAACACCTCTTTCCAATCAGGTACCAGTTTAAACAACCAGTTTCTTCCTAGCAAAGCGCATGAACCTTTTGGAGCAATCACTAGTGGAAGTTTAAACTGCTTCCCTTTGTAATAAATTTCCACTTCTATTTCACCTAATGGTTTAAGGTTTTCACCAGTATAAGTGAGGAGACGTACCTTGGATGATCTTAATTGTAATCTAGAAAAATATTTCTCATACAAGTCCTTAGGGGCAATAGAAATGGCACAACCTTTATCTAACTGCATGGTAACATCATTCTTTTCAAACCTCAAAGAAACATTAATTAGAGTATTTGCAGTAGTACTGGTATGTACAGAATTCACAGTATGTATTTGCATTTGAAGTTGTAGAACATCTTGTACTTCATTGTCTTCAACCCTTACGGTGTGAATATTCTTCCTGTTACATCTGCAGCGAAGTGTCCCTTGGTGTTGCACTTGTTACATACACAGTCGCGGAACCGGCAATTTCCTCTCTGATGCCCGGGTTTTACGCAAGAGAAGCACTTGTATGTGTAGAAGGCTTGACCTGAAGAATTTCCTTCCCTAGCAGTGATTATTCTGCTTGGGCAGTGCGTTGCGCACTGGCTGTGGTGACTTTCTTGAATGCTGTACTTGATGCACCGAAACTTCTTCATCACTATCTGCAACTTGAACTTGGTGAACAAACGCATTTTGATTCCGGAACTGCTGCGTCTCAACGGCAGCAACCTCTTGAGCTTGGGCTATTTGCAGACATTCTTCAAAAGATCTTTCGGCGGTAATCAGCTTCTTTTGGGTCTCAGCACTGCGGATCCCACTTACAAACTGATCCCTCAATGCTCTGGTGAGGAACTGGCCAAAATCACATGTCGCAGCCATGTGTCTTAGCCTAGCACTGTAATCTGCAATGGACTTATTTGCTTCCTGAATGCATCTGTGGAATTTAAAAGTTTCAGCAATGTGAAGCCTTTTGGGCTTGTAGTGGTCTGTCAGTAACTTAATTAGTTCATCAAACGTCTGTCCCTTGGGTAACTTTGGACTGCATAAATCTTATAGTAATTTGTAGGTACTCTTACCCAGGACAGTTATCAGGACAGCAACTTTTCTTTTAGTAGCAGCCTGAATTGTGTCATCATTGGCATCAAAAATATTGCTCTAATCTCTCATGGTAACTAGTGAAATCCTCTGTGGAAGGATCAAAAGAAACAATATGGCCAAGCAAGCCCTGAACTGCCATTTTGGAGTAGCACAGATGTTTTGAATCAGGCTGATTCTTTTAACTCACCCTTCTCGCCTTTATACTTTAATTCACACTTCTTAAGTGACTCTGGTAATACTGTAAGCCTTACTGTACAAAGCAATCCCATCCTCGTCGCCAAATTAAGTGGTGTTTTCATTTATTAAGGCTATTTATGTAGGAGAGATTGATGCACAGTCGTCTAAATCCCATGTTTATTTCCTGCTCCCTTTACAGTGAGTCTACATTTAAACAATCAACATTTAAAGTAAATAAATAAAGTTGTTGCTGTAATAGAAATTATTCCTTTATACAATTATTTGTGCAGTAATATATAAAATCCTGTATCCACACTGCCCTTAATTGAGCCTTAAGACTTAACGGACCCATTTTCACTTCCAGTCCTTTAGGGTTTTTCTCGGCTTCTGCACTCTGGCTGATGTAACAATTACAGTTGTGTGCTCTGGTGGGAGCTACTCCACCTCCAGGAGGTACCGCTCTAACTTTCGTGTGTTAACACTTGTGATGACTCACAGGTGTACTTGTATTTTAAAACTAACTCTGGTTCACCATCATGTTTATTTGCAGTTTTGAAAATTATAATGTTTGGTACAAGGGTACAGTACAAGGGCGATGAGAAATAAGCCAAAAATGTGAATTTGATCATCAGTATTTATAGTGGGATTTAATTATAGTAATAATGTGTATTATAGCACTGTTCAGTGTAAGTAAGATTTATGATAAAGTGAAGGAAGTGTCGAACTCCGGGCACTGCATATTTCATTTATGACACATTGATATTAAATACAACTGGTTTACAAAGGTATTCTAAAGAACTAAAGCTTAAATGACTTTAATAAAGTTCACTCAACATTAATGTACTATACAAAATCCTCAACCAAAACTGATGACGTGCTGCTGACCTCCTGGGTGTCAAACCTGCTGTCATTGTAACTTATGGTACGACCGTACACTTTTTATCCGAAATTGCTGGCGAGATTTACATTCCTTTACGTCATTCGTATTAACCGCTGTAGAAAATGGCATCTTTTTTTTTCCACTATTTTAAATACTTTCGAACGCGAGACAGACTTCTTATTATAAGTTAGCTAGTAGACACCACATGTTGACATAACACCTGACAGGGGTGAGATGTATGGGGAGCTGTGACACATTATTACCATTGATATAAGGAAGTGTGACACTTGACTATCTGTCTAGAAACGCTCGTGCGAAGCTGTTAAGCCAGCTGGTTGCCTTATAGATTTCGGCCATACACGAGCCCACTGCTGACGGGGACTATAAACTTTCATTATTGCATCTGAATGTTGTTTATATGAGGTTGTTGTTTCATACACAGCTTAATTTGGTAACTTGTGTTGTTTACAAGTTCTCAGGGCCCGTCCTACTGTAGCTCACAAATGAGATAAGTCAGAGTAGGAACCTATTCGTAATATTTAGGAGTCACTGTGATTAGTATGCCCCACTGTGTATGGAGAGTGGCACAAATGATTTGCATCTGTCCGTCCGTTCGTCACTCAGTACCAATGTACACACTTTCGTCTCATCCAAGTTTGTTTGCCAGATGGCGCTTAGTATCCAGTATTGAAATGTTTAAACCTTAGCAGTGATTAAGTTGTTGATCGCAGGTGGAGTACATGTGTTGCTGTTTTACCCGCTAGTATGATCATCATTATTATTATTAGTAGTAGTAGTAGTAATAGTAGTAGTATTTTATTATTATTATTATTATTATTATTATTATTATTATCATTATCATTATCATTATCATTATCATTATTATTATTATTATTATTATTATTATTATTATTATTA